ATCTAAACAAACGTTGATATTAAAATAAATATATAATAACAAATTCGTTACATTGGTAAAAATCACGTATGTGTATTTTTGATTTCAAGAATATTACCCACCTCGGTAATAACTGTGATGAGGTCGTTTTTACCTACTGAATTATTTTTTGAGTCACCAAATTTACTCCATAAATATTTTGTAGATCATACTCTTTCTTTAAACTCAAAAGCATCGGATGTTTCTGTGCGTTACTAACGCAGATTTTTTTTAATTGTGTAAATTGTGAATGACGAAAACAATTGAAAGAAGTTGAAATCATTTGTGACGTATCAAAGAAAATAGTTGATCCGCAGATAGAATAATTTACTGGGAATTGTCTGTAATCCTATGTGTTATAGTATTATTTACTGAGAACGATCTGTAATCCTATGTGTTATAGTATAATTTACTGAGAATTGTCTGTAATCCTATGTGTTATAGCATAATTTACTGGGAATTGTCTGTAATACTATGTGTTATAGTATAATTTACTGGGAATTGTCTGTAATCCTATGTGTTATAGTATAATTTACTGGGAATTGTCTGTAACCCTATGTGTTATAGTATAATTTACTGGGAATTGTCTGTAATCCTATGTGTTATAGTATAATTTACTGGGAATTGTCTGTAATCCTATGTGTTATAGTATAATTTACTGGGAATTGTCTGTAATCTGTCTGTGTTATGGAAAGGTTCTAGATGCAAAACTTTTATTTCCGAACACACACGGCCATCAGAGATTCGACTGTGACAAAATAATGGTTTTTATATTTCAAGTATTTCTCAATTGTTCTCTCGTAATTAATAGTGTAAATTCTTGTTTATGATGTTCTGTTTTTACACTTTTTGATTAAACAGAAACATATGTCAACTTTTAGCAGGTTCTCAGTTCATCTGGCTATCGGGTTTCGTGAATTGTGATTCATGTACTTTCTTAACCCTACTTGTTGTTTATAGTGACAGTTACTTATGTTAATCACTATAACATTGTTTTACTGCTAAGGTGTATTTTCTTTTTTCAGATCTTTTCCACTTGCTTCTATAACGCTATGACACTACAATCAGTGGGTTCTTCATGACAGCACTAATAACGGCATAGCTATTAACTTTTGTTATATATGCATATATATATATATATATATCCTTTTGTATATTTTTGTGTCATAGCACAAGGCGTGGATCCCTTTCCTGACGAGATAAGACGTATGGAAAGAAGTTTTGGATCAAGCAAAGTGAATCCTCCGTCACGACCCAACTCCTACTGGGACGATCCCTACCGTAGGCCCTATTTTGATAATAGTACCACACGAAACGTCACTGCACCCCTGGGGAAAACGGCTTATCTTCACTGTCGAATTCGACAAATTGGGGACAGAACAGTAAGTGAGAGAAAAATTATTAGTATTCTAGTTGTTCTTACTCACCTTGTGTTGCCGGATTTGTTTGTTCCCAGCACGAGAAACTTTACTTTCCAGAACAAGAACAATTTTATTTATAACTTTTTTAAAGTAAGTATTACACCAACAGCTATAATTGACGCAGGAGGGTATTGTGTTCACGTACGTGACATAAGGAATAACAAAATATTCTATCCCCATAACTTTTTAAAGTAACTATTACACCAACAGCTATAATTGATGCAGGAGGGAATTGTGTTCACGTACGTGACATAAGGAATAACAAAAATATTCTATCCCATAACTTTTTAAAGTAAATATTACACCAACAGCTATAATTGACGCAGGAGGGTATTGTGTTCACGTACGTGATATAAGGAATAACAAAAATAATCTATCCCAACCTTTTGTTGAATATGTGAAAACACAATATCACACTCCAGCCGATTATATATTATACATGTTATTATTATTATGTCCATAACTCCTCTGAAACACATCAGGATATCCGCTCTACGCCTTTACTGACAACTGAAGAAGATAACTGCTCGTGCTTAGAAATTATGTACATACTCTGTTTACTTTTAGAAACGATACGGTAATATATTCTAGTCAAACATATATTCGGATTAAAGAAATAAAAATTTCACCATGAGATATTTACTAAATTGTAGTATTTCAGAAGCAAGATGGCAACGCTGTTATCAATTAGTTCAATAACAATACGTGAAGACAGGCAACAACGCTGCTAACAACTAGTTCAATAATAACGATTAGAGACAGGCAACAACATAGTCAACAATTAGTTCAACAATAATACTCAGAGAGTGACAGAGGCTTTGAATTTTAAAGATCCATTCGTTGTCAGCACACTCCTGAGAGAAAATATGTTGAAAGTCTGTATATAAATAAATTTAACGACGTCTCACAGGGGTGAGTTAAATTATCATATCAGTTTGTTTGTTCGTTTGGTGTTAAGCAAAACGCTGCAGGATGGGCTATCTGAAGCCTGCCCACTGCTGATATCTAAATCACATTTTGAGCGTTATTAGCACTCAGACTTGTTGATGAGTCACCGGGGAGGTCATTTACCAGTAATTCTCTATTAGACCAAACCAAGTCCCGTTAATTAAAACTAGCCATCATATGTTTGCGTGAATCAGTAATACAACGTTAACACTTGTTTTATTTTTTATCACCTCTCACGTGAACTAACTTCACGCCATTTTAAATAAGTTTAAGTGGTCTTACATAGGAAAGGAGTGACACCAAACAAAACTGTTCATCAATTTCAGAAACGTTCTTTACGTCACCAGAATTTCGAAACGAAAGTTTGTTTGTTTGTTTTTAATTATGCACAAAGCTACACAAGGGCTATCTGTGCTCTGCCCACCACGGGTATCGAAACCCGGTTTCTAGCGTTGTAAGTCCGCAGACATACCGCTGTGCCACTGGGGGGGCTCAAAACGAAATGACTTAAAAATAAAAATACCTAAAACAAGTGTTACTGGTAAAACTCCCATGACAAATTTGAAAGCTGTGATTTAAAACTTAGTCCAGAAGATGATATTTTGATCATAAATTACATTACAGCGTAGGAATGTGCTAAGCTGACATTTTGCACATAAAATAATATCTGGACACACAGCACATTAACATTTTAGTTATTTTGTAACATATCCAGGTTATCTGAAGGCAGATAAACAAATGTATCAGACTTGTTTAACTAGTCTAAGCTAGAAAGTTCAAGTTTATTACGAGAAAATTGTTAGACTTAGGGGTATTTTGATCACGACAATAAGCCTATATTTAAAGAGTTTCTTAGGGGGGTTTCGTTTCTGTTCATGGTACATCTTTATTACACAGCGGAACCAATTAGGGTGGGTGGAAAATGATTAAAATAGTTTTGCAGAAATTTCTCGGTTTACTCACTACAAAATCTGTCATCCCGATAGAAGAATAGAACAGTCAATTATCATTAAAACAAATTCGGCTTAAACGCATCTCCTAATGCTAAGGATTTTCTACATGGTTCCGGCCGAATTTAGCAATCACTTATTGTAAGCTACTTCTTAATGATACAAATTCACTTAACACGAATTTCCTATTAGTGAAAATTAATTTGTACCCCCCCCTCTCACCCCGGATAATCAAGATTGCTCTTACCTTGTCAGTCACCACAGCTGACAGTGGAAGACTGTTTTGAAGAGTGTGGCGTCCTCCATGGAAGACCGAAGAGACTTGGTGATTTAATGCTTAAGACATTGTTGAATCGTTTGATTCGTTTGTTTGTTTGAAGTTAAGCGCAAAGCAACACAATGGGCTATCTGTGCTTTGCCAACCACGGGTATCGAAACCTGGATTCTAGCATTGCAAGTCCGCAGACATGCCGCTGTGCCACTTGGGGGGCTAAATCGTTTAATCTTCGGGTTGTAGGGAATGATTTTGCCAGTATGCGAAATCATCGCCCGCAGACATGCCGCTGTTCCACTTGGGGGGTTAAATCGTTTAATCTTCGGGTTCTAGGGAATGATTTTGCCAGTATGCGAAATCATCGCCCGCAGACATGCCGCTGTTCCACTTGGGGGGTTAAATCATTTAATCTTCGGGTTCTAGGGAATGATTTTGCCAGTATGCGAAATCATCGCTAACCTTTACTTGAGTTATTTTTTTCTTGTGTTGTTGTTTTTGGATACTCAAGGAATACCGGCGCTAGCTGTCCCTAATTTCGAAGTAACACCGACTGCCAACTCTTGGGTTACTATTGTCTGAACTAATAATGAATTTTAACCGTTATCCTCATAACGCTCTCCTGATCCCAAAGTGCATAGGGCATCTTTTTGCGATAATGGGGATCAAACGATGAGCCTGCAGATTCATATTTCGGCACGCTAACCATTGAGCCACGCTCGGCCTTAATTCACTCTCCTGATTTGTAAGTACAGATCATTTGTCATTATAAACTATAGTTTCAGAGGTTTTAGCATGAGCTTCGTCCCCCCCCACACTTATATATGCGTACATGTATTCATATATATATATATATACACACACGTGAAACTGCGCGTGTTATGACAAGAAATGGACGATGAACAAGTTATGTTTAAATATATATTCATGTACGTTTTAGAAGTAAATTGGACGCTATCTACCCATTACTTAATTGAAGTTCGTGTGCACGTCACAAGTATATGCGTGTAAATCCCTTTTAAATAGCTATTTTGCACTTTATTTATTTAATGTAAGGTAGTTTAAGCGCCGGATGAACTGGCTAGGGTTATATAGGTGTGAACAAACAGACACAGACTTCTGAAGGGCAATTAGTTGTCCCAGCGTAAATGAAATTATGAAGTATTTATTCTGAATAAAACGCTATTTGACAGTATGATGTTTGTCTGGTCAGTACGGTGTAGAACGGTAAGGCAATTGTTCATTCACTTTGTACTGAGAAATGGGACCACTGTTTGTTCATTGCGTTATACATCATGGTTGTGCTAATTATAAATCAGTTTCGCTGTTAACCTGTAAGAAGATATGGGCGGCTCGTGGAATTAATGTTCATTTGTGGTCCACAAAGAGTTTTTACCCCCCCCCCCTTGCGATGACTCTATCTAAAGATCAATGGAATCACAGTATCTATTATAATAATAATCAGTTTATGTCTGTCCTGAAAATGCGCGCGCACGTTACTACCAAATGCGGCCGCACTTCATTTCAACGGATGTAAATATAATTTAGAAGGCTTTTTTACAACAACGTATTGAAAGTTTATCAAAGTTTTTAAATTAAAAAGGTCTAAAGTTAGGTAGTAGAATATCATTATGAGTATATTTATTGATAGTACTAAATACGGTAAAATTTGTTAGCCCTAACTAAACTAAGTAAAAAAAAAAAAACAAACGTAAACAAGTTACAGCGTTAAATTATCTCTTTATCGAATATCGGCCGTACTTTAAAAAGGCTTAACATATATATAAGACAAGTGGACTTATATATCTCGGTGTCAGCGATTAGAATTATTTTATATTATTCTAGAAATCATGCGTTTAAAGAAGTACTGTTGCAATAAAGATACTCTGCTAGTAATAATGATAATTGCTACATGAATTAAGCCTAATGGCCAAAAGTTTATCCTAATAGCATGGATTTGTTTTGAATTTCGCGCAAAGCTACATGAGGGCTATCTGCGCTAGCAGTCCCTAATTTAGCAGTGTAAGATACTAAAGCAGCTAGTCTTCACCACCCACCGCCAACTCTTGGGCTACTATTTTACCAACGAATAGTGGGATTGACCGTCACATTACATATAACGCCCCCACGGCTGAAAGGGCGAGCATGTTTGGTGGGATGGGGATTAGAACCCGCGATCCTCAGATTGCGAGTCGAGCGCCCTAACCACCTGGCCATGCTGAGCCTAATAGCATGGGACTAGTTATACTTTAGAAACAGGCTTAAACCCGAAATAACAAATAACGTTGTCCATTCATCAACTAAGCAGTTTTGATTGTTGAGTTTCGACGTATTCAATTTAGTACCTCTAACGAATGCGAACCTCTCAGAAAACATATCTGAGTATACTTGTAAACACTTATAAATAAATAAATAAATATGTGAAGATCACAAATCTGTGCCAAATATAAATCGCCAGTTCCAAACATAAACTTCTCTTTTGAAGCCAACATGCCTGATGGAAAACAAACAAGCTGATTGCAAACTGCTGAGTTATTATTTTTCAATTGCAGGAAAAGTGAAAAGTTATTATTGTAGAAATTAAAATGTAATCGACAATAAAATAAATGATAAAAACAGTACTTAAATTGATGGGCATGACTTAGTGGTTAGCATGCACAAACTGTGAATCCAAGGATTCTCAGTTTTCATCCCGGTGCCGCAAAAAAAAGAGCCGTACTTTGGAGCCATGGGTGCGTTATAAGAGTAATAGTCAAATCCTACTTCTAGATCAAGTGGGAGTTTTTCAAACC